TTATATTCCCTCTTCTCTCTCTCTCTCCCTCTTTAAACCCATCTCTCTCCCATCTCTCCGCCGTGGCCTCCGCCGTGCGCCACTAGCAGTTGAAGCTGCCAGCATGATCTGATCTGAATTTCCGCCGGAGACCGCTCCGCCCGTCGGAATATCGGATCATATTGGTAGCTTCATCTGCTCATGGTATCACGATTTTTTTGTCTTATATAAACCCTAATTTCATCCACTACTCCAATTTTGTCCCCAAATCTCAAGGTTTGTTTTCCTCAATTTTTTTCTTTTTCTTTTGGTGGGTTTGTTCTTGATTTTTCTTTTGGGGTTTGATTTTTGGATCTTTTTGATAATTATTTCGTTTTGTTTGTGGAAATTGTGTTGAATTATGGGTGTTTTTGTTTTGATTTATGATATTTTGGGTGTTTTTTGTTTCATTTGTGATATTAGGATGTTGGAATTTCTGGCTGGATTGTATTTAGAAAATTGAGAAAAGGGGTTTGTGGAATTTTGGAATTTTGTGGATTTGTGATATAGGATTTTTTTTTTTTGAAATTATAGCCAAATTTAGAAAATTAAAAAGAAAGGCTGTTTTTGGAATTGATACTTTTCTTTGATTTGTAGTGTATGAATTGTTGTTGAAACTCTAAGTTTAGAAAACTAACAAAATTTTGTTTTCAGATTTGGTTTTTTGCTTTGATTTGTAATCTATGAAATGTTTTTTTTGAAATTCTTGCCAAATTTGTAAAAGCTCATATAGAAAAATGTGTGTGTGTTTTTTTTTTTTTTTGAATTGGGATTTTTCTTTGAATTGGTTGGAGTTGTAGCCAAATTTAGAAAACTAAAAAGAAAAAGTTGTAATTTAGAAAACTAAAGTTTTTTTTTCCCTTCAATTTGTAATGTTTTTGAAATTTTAGTCAAGTTTTAAAAACTAAAATAATGCTTTTTCCTGAATTGGTGATTTTTCTTTCTATCTGTAATCTAATTTTTTTTAACTCTAACAAAATAATTATTAAATGGAACTATTTGGTACTTCTATTTCATCAGCTTGATTAAAATAAGATTAGAATAATATTTTTTCTATAAGAAGTTTTATGTTCTTTTTGGAATTGGCAATGGCTGGCATAAGAAGAAATACAATAATAATAATAAAGGAGAGAATTAAAATAAAAAACAACAAAGTTCGTAGATTTGGACCCATTTGGTAACGTTTTTGTTTCTTTTTCCCATGTTTCTCCCTTTTCTTTTATTGAAAACATAAACATATTTGGTAACTAATATTTGTCGTTTCTTGTTCACTAATTTTGTTAAAAGAAAATAATAAACGTTGTATATGAAAATTAATTTTTCAAATTAAATATTCAAAATTTTAATGCTATATTTATTTTTTTATCTTTATTATTGTGACACCGAGTAGGTACATGTGGAATGAACTGGCATGGTAAGAATTGAACCTACGAATTCGTCAATCCTAAGATAATGGAAGCATGCCTTCCTTTTCGGTGGTATCCGAATTTTAAATCATGGGCCTGCAGTGTTACAGTTATACATTTTTATAAATAAAAAATAATAAATAATAAAATGATACATTTATCTATTTTTGAAAAAATATAGAAAATAAGAATAAGAAACAATAAACTTGATTTTACTCCCTTTTAAAAATGATGCAGTTAAAATTGGAAACAAAAAACAGAAACATTGTGGAAGAAATTTTATTAAATTATATGATGAATGAGATTTAATTGGAATATGGGAATCTCTTTTTTGTGTGGTTTTTGTTTCCTCTTTTTGTGGAGATTAAGGCATTTGCTTGGGAATCTCAAAAATCATCTCTGCACAAAGATTTGGAGAGAAGACCATATATGTTGATGTTAGGGTTTCCATTTCAAAGAGGATTTTCAAAATTTTTAGGGTTAGTGTGTGGCTCACATTCTATATTTCTTTTCAATTTAGTCAACTGGTGTTTAAACACTTTCAATTCTAGTCCTTTGAGTCTAAACATTTTTTTTTTAATTATGGTAATGTTAAATTGCGACTAATAATAAGCTCCCGTAACATGATAAATTTAAGTTCCTGTTGTTTAAATAGTTTTAATTGAGGTATTTGTATACCTATAAATATTTTTTTAAAGGTTTAAATATTGTTTTGGTTTTTGTATATTTGATTTTGATGTGTACACTTTGATTCATTTTAGTTCGTGTACTTCACATGTTGATTCTGGTGTTCGTGTAATTTCAACTTAGATTCATTATTTTAGTCCGTTTACTTTTGAATGTTCATTTTGGTTACTTTAAAAAAGTTACCGCCATTTTGGTTCGTACTAGTAAATTTTAACACAAATTTTATACACAATAGAAATTCTTTGATATAAATTTTATTATTACTACATTTTAATAAATTTAGTGAGTGAAAAGATAAAATAAAAATGAATAATTCACTAAAATGGTCACTTTTAAAGAGTGTATGGACCAAACTAGACGTTTTGAAAATATATATAAGACTAAAATTAACAAAATTGAAAGTATAATTTCCGTTGTCAATGTTAAAATTTGACTAATAATTATATGCCTTTGTGGCATGATAGATTTAGAACAAGAAAATACAATTTCTGCTCAATTCATAAATATTTGGAGGAGGAAACCATGTGGACTTGTACATCATAAGCTATTTTAATTAACATTCCCAACGGAAAATATATAATTGAAAATATTAAAAATGGACCAAATTGGAACATTTTTTAAAGAAAGAGACTAGATTGAAAAAATGCTCAACTAATTAAAACCTAAATTATATAAAAGTAAATCTATACTTGGAAGAAAAGGTTCAATTTATTGACCAGTGACTTGATGGAAATTTAAAGAAGTTACGTCATGGAAGAAAAGTTCATAATTTCTACCAACTTCTTACAAGTAATCAAAAGAACTAGAAAATTGGAAAAAAAAATTAAAATTTTCATATCTTATATGCTCTAATTTCTCGAAATTTTTACTGACTCGCTAATAAATTTGACATCAACAAATCTTACTAATCAAAACATTAATTATAAGGAGAAAATATCATAATATTGGGGACTATAATATATTTATAAAGATGGAAGGATTAAATCGTCTAATATCGCCAACATGAACATAACTTAACGGTATAAGCATCTACTCCTTTAAAGTTAGAACTCAAATCCTCACTGTCCATAATGTTACTGAAAAAGTTGTATAAAATTAAAAAAAAAAATCATAAATGAGTCTTTTTTAGGGTAAATTTACTCTCATTTATTTTAACTATATATATAATCAGCAGCCAAAACATTACCAAACAAAATAAAGGACTAAAAAGTGTGTTTTAATTTATATATTTTAGTATCCATATTTTTTTTTGCTACTTTTTAATAAACATTGAAATGACTACTCATTTTTTGCTAATTTACATTTATTTTTTTTAGATAAAAACATAAATAAAGTATTTGAAAATAACAAATCGTCTAAATTTATATACGAAAATATAGATGTTAAACTAGTTGAATAATGCTCGAGTTGTTACTATATATTACTTTTAATTTTGGTAATGTAAAATTGTGTTAGGTGCGTTGAGATGAAAGCCCATAATTTTCGGTGGGTTTTTACATTAGGGTATATTTGCCCTACACATATTGGGCCTTAAAGTTAAAAACCACATGAAATTTGAGTTCTTGTGAGACAAATTTAAATTAATAGTTGTCAAACCGAGCATAGCTCAAGTGGTTAACACACTTGTTTCTGATCAAAAAGTCATAAGTTCGAATCCCCACACGCGTAGTTGCTAAATTGATAAAAGTAACGACACAGAATAGAAAATTTAAAGATATATATTAAAAGAAATAAAAATACAGACACCAACGAGAGGACATAATCTTAAAAGTTTAAAGATTCACTACAAATTACATAGACTAAATTGAACATGTTGAAACTAGAATTATTAAAATGAATATTTTAAAAATACAGGAAAAAAAACCAAGTCAAAATAGTATTTTAACACTAAATTTATATATAATTTAACTTATAATTTACGAAAATGACTTTGAGTGAAAAAAAAAATTATTTGGTAAAAAGAAAAAGAAAAAAAAACCCATAGACACTGAGATTCAAATACCAAAACCCAACACACTTCGACGAAACCTCAGGCAACACAGCCGTTCTTCTTGGTGGAGTAAGAAATTCTGTGCGGCAAAGCTAATTTCCGAGCTCTCCTCAAAGCCATTCGTTTCCAGATACGTTCAATCTAAGGTAATGAATCTCGTTTGAATCATGAGTTACTGTTGGCTATTTTTCTATATCCATAAGTTTCTTGTAGAATTTCTGTTTCGACCACGTTTTTCTGTTTTTTTTCCTCGAGAATCTGTATTCGGGGAGTTCCTAGAGTTTGAAAGTTAGTTTTTATGCGAATTTAGTCTCTTTTAGTGAAATGGGTCTTCGTTTAGGGTTTAGGGTTTTTGTGATTGTGATTCTGCCGCGCTACTTGAGTTGGCGTTATGTTTTCTTTTATTGGGTGCAATGTAATTACTCGACTTTGATAGACGGCGGCAGTGGGAAATTAGGGCTGATGCTTTTGTGGGATCTGATATGTTAGTTTATTATTTTATTTTGCTTAAGATCATAAAGGAAGCCGCGTTTTTATATTTCTGTTGTGCATCTTCCATTTTGCGGTGATGTGGTGTTATGAAACGATAACGAGTTCAATTTTATGATTTTCTTTGGTTTTATGATCCTTTTCTGTTCATTCAGAGTTCAGTTCGTTCTTTGTGTATTTATCACCATTTTTCTGCGGCATACGGTACAGGATAAGATTGCATGCTTAGACTAGGTAGATGATTTGGATGTACTAAATTCTTCTTTCTCTGAAGCTACAAGTAATGAGCAAGAAGAAGAATCCACTTGTATTCTTGGACGTTTCAATCGATGGGGAACCAGTGCAAAGAATTACTATTGAGGTGAGTAAATAGACCCAAAGGATAATCTTGTTAATGTCTTGGGTCGCTTTCCCTGTTGGAAGGAAGCATACATATTTTCCATGCTTCATCGCTGATAACTTGTTCGTTTTTAAACAATGCAGCTCTTTGCTGATGTTGTTCCTAAAACTGCAGACAATTTCAGGGCACTCTGTACAGGTAAGTTTTAGGACTTGTAAATTTAAAATCTTGTTACTGATTAAGCAAGAAATATCAAGAATGATCTAAGCTTGGTACTTTTTCTAATCTTCATTTATTTAATTCTTAATCTTTTTTATATCAGTTTTCAAAACCATCAATAGATGCCTGATATAAAGAAAATATTCTTAGAAATCCTTTTTTTTTGTGTGTGGGTAATCTAGACATGTCCGATGGTTGTAGTTGTATGCAATAGTAACAAGTCCACAACTAACTATTAATATAATTAATTCTCTGGTAAGGGTAAGACGGTGTAATAATGGCGAATACAGCTTTTTGGCCCTTCTCTAATGACATTGCCTACCTCAGCATCTTGTAAGAACTTATTGTCATTTCTTGTCTTTCATTATAGGTGAGAAAGGGATTGGGAAGACTACAGAGAAGCCTCTTCACTTCAAAGGAACATTTTTCCATCGAATAATTAAAGGGTTCATGGCCCAAGTATGTATTGCGATTTGCGTTTGTTTTTTGCTTTGGTCATCGTCATTAAACACTGATCCTGGTACAAATAAGCAAACAAATGTAGGCTTTTGATTCTCTTATAATAAAGAACTAAATAAAAGAATAAATGCTTTTGATGCACGAATGACTTAAATATTTGTAAAGACTTGCAGTGAAGGCTTCTCTTTTGATGTGATAAATGTAAGCTTGTCTTTAATATGAGTGAAAAAGAAAATTAATACATCGGTTTTTTGTTGTTTCTGATAAATCTGATAACGGAAAATTTTAAATGGTTGGTCAATGGAACTTCTAGGCATGTATTTTTTTTTTCCTTCAGAAAAGATCACAATCTTTTTCAATGTAAATTAATCATTTGATTTCCCATAATCATGCCTTTGGACATTTCTGTTATCACTACCGGGTTTTTTTATCTTGGAATGTTAGGTACTTCAGAAGTTTGACATACTGCTTTTTGCTAAATCTAGGGCCAAATATCGTATTTCTCCTTAATATTCTCTCAATACCAAATTTTCTTATTTTTCTTTGCTTCTACAGGGTGGTGATTTTTCAAGGGGAAATGGTATGACCTTATTTCTTGTCCATGAATCATTTGAAGGGAAGTTCTTTTCTTCTAAATCCAATTATTTAATGCTTGGCCATCTAATGGACAACATTTAACTACCTTATAGGGACTGGTGGTGAAAGTGTCTATGGAGGAAAATTTTCAGGTATTTACCAGAGTACATTGAGCTCTTGTCAAAATATATGTCCATGTCGTGATCATACAAGTTTGCAAAACTGCAGATGAGAACTTCAGACTAAAACATGATGGGCCTGGCATTCTTTCCATGGCAAACAGCGGTCCAAACACAAATGGATCACAATTCTTTATAACGTTTAAGCCCCAACCTCACCTTGATGGGTAATGTGTATTTTCTTGTATTCTCCTTAGTTTCTGAAGAATAATTTTCCAATCATCCTTCTGTCCTCTTTTCACAATACCAAGAATCGAATCAAAATGATACAATTTTGTGGTTTGTGAATATGTAGATTCATTTGGCTTGTTCCTGAATTTTTGGACAGGAAACATGTTGTCTTTGGTAAAGTTGTGAAGGGAATGGATGTTGTGAAGAAAATCGAGCAGATAGGAACAGCTGATGGGAAACCTGGGCAGCCTGTGAAAATTGTAGACTGTGGTGAGCCATTAGAGAGTAAGGGTCAAATTGTGGTGAGAAAGGAAAAAGGTAGTGCTAATGTATGTTATATTGGGTCCACCAAAGCAAGAAATAAGGAGTTTCTTTTTAATGCCTATGCATGGTCGTTTGACCTTTTTCAGAGAAAAAGAAAAAGTTGAACAAGATTACATCTTCAGAATCTAGCTCTGATGACCAAGTGAGAGGCAGACAGAAGAAGTCCAAGGACCGAAAAAAGAAGAGAAGAAGATACTCGTCATCTGATTCATACAGCTCTGATACTGAATCAGATTCGTATTCGTCAGATTCAGATTCGTCACTTTCTGATTCTAGTTCCTCGAGTGATGGAAGGTACAGGATCACTGAATCAGATTCTTATTCTTCAGAGGTTCATCACTTTCTGACTTTAGTTCTTTGAGTGATGGAAGGTACAGGAAGAGGAGATCCAAGAAAACAGCAAAACCCCAGCATGGAAGGAAAAGAAAAGGTCGACAAAGAGAGAAGAGAGGTCGATTAGGAAAACGTTCAAAGCGCAAGGCTAAATGGTTGGAGTTATATGTTTATTTGGGCTATAGCTTTCTTCTTATCTCTGTAATATTCTTTCAGTACGTCTCTGGACATTGATAATAATTTGCCTTCAGGAGCTCTGGGAGTTCAACTGACACAGGGAGTGAGAGTACAAGCGGTAGCAGTAGTAGTTCCGATAGTGACAGAGTTGATCGCCGTGCTGCTATCCGTAAAATCAAAGATTCGATGCATTCTGAGACTAAATCAAAAGGAATTATTGGTATAGTATCTCATCCCATTCATATATGACTTTTGTTGGGATTTATTACAAGTCCACATTTTACATTTCCACGATGATGATACTGCAGTATACACTCAGATGGTTTGGATATTGCAGATGAGAAGGAATCCTTGAATCCTGTTACTGAGACTGCTGTGGAAAAACAGAAAAATCAGGACGTCAATTTATTACAGGAAGAAGGTGAACTGTCCCCAAAGCATGAAGATATTCTGAACAATGGTCATAAAACTGAACCTGTGCAACTTGAGAGATCTGCTAATCAACGCCCTGTTTCAGATGGCTCTAACTATTCCAGGTTTCTACTTAATTCTCGTTTCCTGCTCTTTGTTTCCTTCTTACATTGTTTTCCCTTTTCATATGAATTGTTCTGAGTTCATATACCAGCAGTTGCTTCATGAACTCATACATATGTGACTAACAGGAGCCCTACCCCTGAAAGGCCAAGAAACAGCCCCAGGGGCAATCTTAGTAGAAATGCTGATAAAACATTTGGAAGTCCTGGTATGAAGTATGGCGAGCGGAATAGGACAATGCGTTCACGGAGCCCAGTTCGTAGTCCTGTTAGAAAAGCTCCTGATCCTTCTGCTTCTAATCATGGTCAAACTTCATCAAGAAGCCTCTCTCCAAATGGCACTCCAAAACGTGTTAGGAAGGGGCGTGGTTTTACTGAGCAGTACTCATTTGTGCGTCGTTACCGAACTCCATCACCTGAACGTCCTCGCAATTATGGTGGTAGAAATATTTATGGAAGAAGTCGTAATGGGTAAATATTTACTTTAAGATATTAACTATATTAAGCAAGAATTTGGAATTTAATTATTTCATTTTGTATGAACTATGAAGGTATTCAAGCTACAGAAGCAACCGCGATTGGTCACCTGATAGACGATATCGGAGCCCACCTAGAGGCAGGAGCCCTCCAAGGTTTCTCTCTCTTTATGTCTCTCATTCACGGTCACACACGTTCACACAAACCCAGAAAAGCCAATATGACCCTTGTACAAAGCCTATCTTTTGTTCTCGAGGTCAATTACCTGCGGGGCGTAACTTACAACTAAATGACAAATTTTATTTGGAAGTTGCATGGGGGAGCCTTCACTTTTTCCCCCAAATATTGATACAATAAATATATGTTACCCTAAAGCTTAAAAACAACCAATGATTACACCCAAGAAAGTTTATTATTTTCACATGCAACATAATTAGTCTCTAATGTATAAACCATTAAAAACTTGAGTCATACATTTGCACATGATTTAACAACTATTTTTATTAAATTTATGTCGAATGATATAAATATAAAAATGTTTAGGTGAAGAAGACCAATTAGAAGCTACGAATTTGTTCAAGTTCCACAAATCTTCCATCTCCTTCCCTTTGAAAAAATCCTATTGTTTTATTCTATCTACAACCCCCAAAGCAGTGCCCTCACACCATCCATTCATCCAAAGAATTTTCGGCTGCTCTTTATGACTATTCACAAAGTAATTGAGTGATGTTTTCTTTTGCCTTGTTGTGGCTGACTAGAAACGTTGGAAGATAGCATTCCAGCAGAAGGTACTTTACAGGCAAAGAAAGAAATAATGATTTTGGCATTCTTCATTTCGGTACCACAGTACAGTAAATACGAATTTGGTCTAAGCATCATGTTAGGTCATGGTCACCTTTGTAGAATTCCCGTTTTAATGCCTTGAGAAGAAGAGTCCGTATAAAAGGAAAAACTTGGTTTTCTAAGCCCTTTTCTTTTACCAGACTGCTTTCACCACCTCAAATGGCAAGTCTTCTCGTTTCCATAAAAAAACTATACAATACAACGATTTAATGGATCTGTAACCTTACATTAGACTAACATTGCCACCAGTCTTTCTGCATCTTCAAGTTCCCCCTGCCTTTCAACGGTTCCAACTCGCCTATTCTAGCCCAGTAATCTTTGACCAGGAAATCTATTGGAAGGAGCCCCTTGCTCGATCTCAGAAAAACCTCCAAGAAATGAAGTTCCACCCCCTACCCATCCTCCCCAAAAAGAACAGAACTATCTTTACCTACTTTTAAGGGCAAGTGGGGTTATCCACCAAATTTTTTCATTTTTATTCTTTCAAGGGCTTCTATTAGAAACATCTTTAATGCTGTTGTGTAGACCAACCATGATGTATGACCCCATGTATACTCACCAAACCAAAGAGGATTAGCTCCTAGTGGAAACCTCCACAACTATTTTGCTAACAACAGCTTGGTTCCTCAACCTAAAATTTCCCAGGCCAAAGCCTCCTCCTTCCAGTGGTTTTGAACAATCCCACTTGACTTGATTCGCCTCTACCTTCCTGATTTTGGCACCTACAAAAAGTCTCAATCTTCTTTTCCAACTGCTTAGCAACCTTACAAGGTATTCTTAAGATAAAAATAAGATGGAATAACCTTCCATCTTTTGTACTAACATCTTTCCACCTTGATAGTTCCGTGGAAATCCTCCCAAGTACTAGACTCCAGAAAGCTGAATACGAGACACTCCCTGCCCAGGGATCATCTAGATACACCAATGCAAAATTTGTGCTAGCTAGATCAGCACAAGCTTGCTGCGATCCTTCTAACTTCCTCAAGATTAACTTTAACGATGCTTTCTAGTAGAGATTCACTCCAGTTTTTCTCCACACCAGAAACTTTTAAAAAGGTCTCCCTCACCTGCCTCAGAAGTTTCCAACTCTGTTGACCTTAAAAAATAATAGAGTATTATCATCTATAAATTGAAAACGGGTTTATGGTAAATTCTCTTTTCCAACCTGAAACCCTATTGAAGACCAAAAACCATGTTTCTGTCCAGCCTCCTACTAAAAACATCTGCCACAATCTAAATCGCAATTGCAATGAGAGATAGTGATAACTGGTCAAGTCACCTTGCCTTCACAGCTCTGCCTCTAGGTCACAGGCAGGGATGCCCATTGTTTCCCACTCAACTCCCATTTCCTCAGATGAAAATTTGAGAATTCTCTTTACAAATGAAACTTCTCATCCAGTTCTTCCATTTGCTATTGAATCCTATCGCTTAATTCCTACTGTTATTCTGGGCATTTAAACGAATTCAGTTATACTACTGTGAATTGATAATTGTCATAAAAGAAAATTAGTTTAGGTTGGAAAAGAGGTCTACGATAAAATAATTGTTTTTCCCCTTAAATTCTCCTTTATATTTAGTACCTAGCCTTTTATACGTTTTTCTCTTTATATATGTAATTTATTTGAGTTGGAATTTCTGTGCATCTAGATACCGGAGGAGGAGCCGAAGTGTTTCACGCAGTCCAGAGAGTCACCGTGGTCGTTACAAAGATCGTAGCAAGAGTAGGAGTCCAGTACGAAGCCCTAGCCCTTCAGAAAAGCGAACTCAGATAAGTGAGAGACTAAAATCACGTCTTGGACCGAAGAAAACTTTTTCCCCAGAGAAAGAAAGGTCGCGATCGGGGAACCGCAGCTTGTCGCGTTCGAGATCTCCAGACAAACGTCGTGACGCAGCTAATTCTGCATCTCCCAAACGGTCTAGATCCAGATCCAGCTCCTTGTCTGGACAAAAAGGGTTAGTTTCATATGGAAATGGTAGTCCTGAATCCTGATAAGGGGATAATCTTGTACTAATTAATCTGCAAGTTAAAATTATAGGAATGCTAAAACGCTTGTCCTTCCTTAGACATGATGTTTGTAATTTCTGTAGTGTAGTGAACTGTCTCTTGATTTTTTTATATTTAATTTTGCTTATGTTATTTTTTTAGCCCAACACTTCATAACCTTGACTGACTTCTCTGGGGTAGTCTTCATATTTTGACCTTAATTTTGATTTGTTCATATAGGTCTAGCAATGTACTTCTTTCTGGTTGTGGTTGGTGCATAAATTAATAATTATTAGGGAGAAAAGACTTGGAAGAAAATTAAATATATAATATATATTTTTCCTTTAAATATTTAGTGCTCATTTTGAAATGGTTTGTCCTATAGATGTGGTGTATTCAAGTAGATTTAGCAATCTCATGAATCACTGTCCTTTCTGCAAAAAGTACTGTTGCTCTATAATGTGTCAAATGATGTTTTTTAACCTTAAGGTGAGATTTTTTAAGATAAAGATTAGATTGTTACAAATTTTAAATTAATGCAACTAAATTATTATATAATATAATTTAGTGGTTAAATTATTGCTTGCATTAAATTGTTACGGATTAAAATTTACAAGTGTACTGGTTCCTTTCCAAGCATTTTCAGCAAAATTTGAAACTTTTGTCATTTTATGTATAGAAAGGGTAAAATTATATTTTTGTTGTAATTTTATATTGTCCCTTTCTAAAACTATATTTATTTCCTCCAGCTGGAGCTTTTCTATACGTGCCACCATTAAGCTATTTCGAAGAATATGGAAGTAAGATTAGATTATTTGAATTGAAAATCTATCTAACAAGCAAGTTTTTGTTGAAGAAATTTCGGAAATAGGTAACAATGGTGGAATAGTAAAATAAAATTATAGTAAAATAATTTTCATTTTTATCTCATTTCTTTCGATCACAATTTTAGTCCGAAAAACTATGTTGTGATAGTCTCCTGTATTAATATTTGAAGTATAACCTTGCCTTAATAAGTACAAGGTGTTCAATAGAAAGTAGAAAATGACAAAAAAAATTTCGAGCCACATCAACATCATTTAATGATGTGGATCCAAGGTAAAATTGTAACGTGAACAAAAGAATAAGGGCAAAATATATTTTTGGTTGAGGTAGGTGTCTACTTGGTCACTTTTGGTCCCTTTGAGGTATATGTCTACTTGGTCCTTGAAGTTTCAAAATGTACACTTTTGGTCCTTGAAGTTTAAATTAGGTGTCAACTTAGTCCCTAAAGTTTTAAACTGAACACTTTTGGTCCCTGAAGTTTGAGAAATAGTTTTAAATGATCCCTAATTTTTTTTTACTGTTATTAACTAATATTAAAATGACATGGCAAGTTGCAATTTGTCACGATATTTTAAACTGAACACCAATGCAATTTACCACGTCATTTTAATATTAGTTAATAATAGTAAAAAAAAAGTTAAGAATCATTTAGAACTATTTCTCAAACTTGGGAAATTGAGATTTTTGACCCCTTTCAATAACCACTTTGGACTTTTGACCCCCTTTTGATTTTTACCTATTTATGACCCCTTCACCTCAGATTTCTGACCCCTCCCCTTATTTTGCTTTGTAAAATTACCAAGTTACCCTCAATTTAAAAAAAGAAATCAAACACAACCCTCCCCTCCTTTCCCTCCCTGTCTCGGTCCTTCCCCTCCCTCATTCACTATCTCGTTGTCCATCTCAGTTTTCATCCCGGTCTCTCCCTCACAACCAGAAAATTCATCTCCATCGTTTCTTCTTCGTCTCCCTCACTTCGTCTCTATCAGAGCTTCCCCCTTCCCTAATTGAGGTAATTTTTCTTTCGAACTCGCGATCTTATTGTGAATGATTTTCTACCTTTTTTTCTTCGTTCTTTGCGTGGGTGTGAATGATTTCAACATTCGGCTCTATCTGAAGTAGCCAAGGTTATTATGAAGTTTGATTTATTGTTGCTTCCATTGTTTTGTTTTAATTTTTGACTTTCAGGGTTCCATC